GTGGGGGAACGACACAAACTTATATCCAAAAACACTTTTATTTAAATGTGGATTTCAATTTACATTAATTATATAACGACAACAAATTTGTACGACTTTTAGTATCAAAATTATTTTTGATAAAAGTTTATTAATTTACTATAATTTTTTTAGTCATATATTTTAAATTTTTATTTTTATAATTTGCTTCTCGTTTAATTATAATATCATACTATTAATTTCCTATAATTTATTCCAAATATCTGTGGACTAGTACTTATGTGATAAAAATGTATTATAAATTATAATTATAATTTAAACATTTGTGTAGCTGAAATTTGGTATTCAAAATATAAGTAATGTTGGCGAGGGGGCTTTGCCCTGTGTACTTAAAACGCAGTTTTTAAATCATTGAATTGAGCTCGTATACTTAATTTAGTAATCTCTWATAAATGTTTAACTAGATAGGTGATAGCCTTATTTGTATTAATGCTCTCTAGGATAAAGTTTTTTTGGGTTTTTTTTTATTGGTATTTCAAGCCATTTTTTTTTTAATGATTAACTACTACGTGAGGTGTAATATATTTTTTGTTTTGTGAAATAAAGACATTGTGTGATAAGTGCCTAATGAGTAATGATTATGTTATGGTTACCTACTATGCAATGTAATAGATAATGGTGGTATCACTGGTATTGATGGGGCATTTACTAAAACTTTGGGATCACTATGATAGTTATTTGATATTTAATATATTTACTATAGATAATATGGCCTATCTATTTCTATTTTATATTAGGTTTAAAAACAATAATATAACTTTGTTGTAGTCACCGCTATGATTAATTACAATTATTACCCTCAAAGTAGTTTAGGTAATTAATATAATATTATTAGAGTAGTAATTTACTACAGTCTAAAATACAGCATTATTAGTTGCGTAAACTTGGCCCATATAAAATCACCAATAAATAAGCTTTGATAGGTACTTAAAAATATAATGTAGTATACACCTATATATTATATTATTATGTTTGAAAATGTTAATATAAAGTAATATTTAGTAAATACAAAATATACATAACTAAGAATATATGTGTGACGTGTGTTTTTGAACATACGTAATAAAGCAACACAAATAAAATGGAATTGGAATGGAATTGTATACTTAAATTTTTCAACAGTAAATTAAAATTAGACTTTAATAATGTCAGTCTACATTGATATTTGCATACGTTGAATAAAGATAGGTATAATAAATGGAAAATACTATGTCCGATGAACACTAATTTAATTTGAATAATAATTTCATTAAGTATTGACAATAGGTTGAATGACATAAGTGAAACAATGATCCCACCAAAATCAAAAAAATAAGTAAATATGCAATAAATAATAAATTAGGTATCTGACACAATAGGGTCATTTAATTTGAATAACTTTACATTTAACGCCTTAATTTMAAATTAACTTGTTCAATTTTATAATTATTGTAGCTTTACTTTTTTTTTAACGTTAAGCCCTTTAAAATTACATTATCAGTACTATAGGTAGTAGACTTATTATTTGATGAATGACCTGATCGGTGAATCGATTTATAACGAAGGCTTCATAATCGATGGTCTCTATAGCCTTTAGTCAAAATAGTAATATTATTTAATATATTATTGGTATTTGGCCTAATATATTATATTGAATTTTAGTTATGACGAGTTAAGTGTTATAATAACATTTTGATAGTTCCGTACTCCCGGTAAATATTTTTGCTATATTTATTTATTTCAACAAAAGTCAATAAYATAATAATATAAAATTAGGTAGGTATATATAAATAATAGTAAGATATCAATACGTTTATAAAATGAGCTTAGTTCGTATTTGGAATACGAATTTCCTAGTTAAATATACTTCTATATTTCTTAACGGACATTTTTTTAATATAATTGAAAAATGGACTTAATTCTCCAAGTATTGATTAAATTACTCTAATGTAACATCAGTGTTCCTTTATTATTAATTATATCTATACACATTTCAATTGTTTTAGTAATAGATTAACTTTTGAAGCAAATTAACAAATAAATCAACTATTTCAATATTGGACTATTGACAATGGACTTCTTTTTCATCCATCTATCATATCATATTTTATGTGTATTACTCATTGTACTAATTGTATACAGGTTGTAACTTAACGCTATATGAGGCCAGTTCGGTGACAGTCTATAGTCTGTCCTCCAATACTGAGTACAGTGTATGATTTGTTWCCTACACAGATGCGTGCGTTAGTATAATAATTATAAGTAGTAATATAGATTGRAAAGTTTGCATTTTGTAAAAATTGGATTTTTTTTTCGTTCCCTATGAATGGACACTAGGCCTACCAAGGTCCAAATAKGCTCCAGGAAAGTTTTGTAGAGCAACATRGTAAAGCAATAGTAGAACCTATTAAATMTTGTGAATGATTTTAATTAGTAGCAATATATAAACACTGCAATGAGCTTATATTATATAAACCATAAATTAATATTTTCAAAATTAAAAATTCTCAAAACACATTTGAGATAACTTATGGGTCAAGAAATTCTAGAATCCTTAATACTGTGAATCAAATATAATATTAAAATAGGATTACGATTCCATCACAGATGAACTACGAAATACCTCAAATGAATTAAAATGAATTTCATTTTAAATACCTAGTTTTTTTTTACTAAACAGGTCTCAACATTGGGTGAATACCTAGTTTATAAATTATAAAACTATTATAATTTTTATTTTAACAATAAAAGTATATATTTTATGTAATTATATTTATTATTTCATTTTTAATGATATTTAATATATAAGTATGTAATAACTAAGATGAAGTCATTTTTTTATTTTAATTGTCAGCTTTCTTTTTTATGGGCCTTTTTTACCAAACTACATAGTAAGCCTCTTTGAGCCAGGTCGACCCTGTATTATACTGCATATTATATGACGAAGAAATATTATACCTATAATATACAAATAATTCATACGTATAAAATTAATTTTATAATGATGTATTCGATGTTATACCTACCTGTCTACCTAGCTATCATTTTATTTTATTTAACATCACAGCAAATTTCTTAAATTCAGGCAGTATTTAGTTAATAGTTATTTTGTTGTCATATTAAATCAAGTGTTATTTGGTATAATTACTAATACTTAAATGGATTTTTTTGAATAAAATAGTTCATTTTAACTTAACTTTATCTCATTGTTTAGTCGAATTTGGAAGTATTTTAAGTTTTCTTTTAAAAATGCAATCAAAAACGTGATTAATAAACACCAGTGCCTATTTATGCAAAACAAAAAAAAAACATAGCGATATGTTTCTATATTCAAAACCTAAAATTTGTATTTTATATTATCTTACTTTTAAAATATCCTGATTCCCTTTTTTTTACTTTGAATCCGTTTCGAAGATGTTTASATGATTTTAACTTATTTTTCGTACACAGTTCTGGCCTATTCAAAACAAGATTTTTTTTTAATACCATATGATTAACTATATTCGATTCTATATTTGTATTATTTCGTTTATCATTAAAATGTGTTGAATTATTGTAATTGATTTCTTTATTTGGAATCTGTAATAAAAAAATAACTGTCTAATTTATTCATATTTGTTTACTTCAAAATACAATATTTACTATAGCAAATGAAGGTATGGTATCTTTAATGATAATAGTTTCCACGCACAGCATTAATTTATAGACGAAAACAAAAAAATAGCTTCGATTTATGAAAGTATAATAACGTATCATGGTTTTGGAATATTGTAAAAGTTATATTCGAAAAAATCATTGTTAACTATATATTATATACTTTATAGTTTAAAATTGCTATGACAATCTATTGTTGAATAAAAAAAAATTATTTATTTAATACCCACCTTACGTATTTTGAGTTACTTCTTAAATTACTTTTCAGAATAAACATAAACAGGTGTAGCTAATAATCAATGACTGGGTTTTGAGCGTTCATTTTGGACTGACGAGTTATATATACCTAAAACTTGGTCACCTCGATCACCCAAAAACGTAAATAATCTAACATAATGATCGTGTTTTTTTAAGTAGGTATTACTTAAAGTAGTTCATCATTCGTATATTAATATATGATACTACCATTGATATAGTTTGTATTTTTTATTCCTGGTTATAATATATTCTAATTAATCAAACTGTTGATGTGTATTTATTAAAATATAAAAATAATAACAAATAAAAAAGTTTATGTCAATTTTTTGAATCAAACATATTAATATTTAAGCAGAAATTATTAAACAAAAACTTTTTTCGTGAGTAGGATTTTTTTAAGGTTTTCATATTATATGTAGGTAATGTTGTACAAAAAGTCAGCACCCTTGGTACTACAAATTTTTTTGGACGTGGAATTATATTAGAAGATTTAAATTACAGTCAATATGAAAAAAGTAACTAAACTTACTAATTATACTAACCAGTTAAAAATAACTTAACTTTGAAATTTTAACTCGTTAATGCAAAAAAAATAAAATTTTGGTATGAACTATGAACAACTCTTATAATATATATACTATTATTAAAGTAGGTTTAACCTCAAGATAGGTTGATTTGTATATTTGTATATTTGAATATTTGTAAGTATATAGTCACTAAACCATTCTAACTGAAATTATTATAAACATTTTTTTTTTCATAATTTAAATATATAAGTACAGTATCTATGTGGTAAACACTACAGTATTCAATGAACATAATGTCATGTATCTATTTATCAAAATATTAGCATATATTATATTGTGGTACGACGAATAATAAATGAGAGCAAAACTTAACAACCGGAAAAACGGTCGACGTTTAACATATACTTATGTCCTACATTTTTGGAAATAGCGTTTTAATTGCAGTGTAAACACAATAAAACCATATACCTATTATTATGTATTACGTGTCCAAAAAATATATAGGTATCTAGATTACGTGAACGCACAACAAACAAAACATACGTAACACAACCACTGCAGAAATGCGATGTAGTAATTCGTTAAGTAATAACTATTTACTATTCATTAAAAAAAAATCTTCCCAGTGCAGAGTCACAAATGGTTGCTCATCAACAGCCTCCAACAATGGTTCTGGAAAAACTACTCTGTGCCTATGACAGATTATTACTAAGTATACATTTTCACTTTTATTTTCCTTTCCGTGTGTGACATCCGCATATTGTCTTGTGTGCCATATATATACCGCAATGTATACAAATTTTTGAGACATTACGATTTTCGACAAACACACCGAATAATTTATCATTCACTGCTCTGCAATGGTAAAATTAAACGAGTGTTTTCGGTTCTTTTCGCACGTTTATCTGGATATTGTTTTTTTCAGGTGTTCAAATCAGTTGTATGCGTTTTGGCGTCTATTCAACTGGTCATTTGTGCGCTGCCTAACTCGTTTGAAATGCCATCCAAGTAAGTAACTTATACACAATAATATGTATTGTTAGTAAGTGTTTGAAATATTAATGTTGCACTTTATTTTTTAAAAGTTCAATAATTTATTCACYTTTCAATTACCTATTGACTACTGAATATTCATYATCAAATAATTTTATACTTTTAGTTAGTTAGTTTGGTACATTGGAATATTAACGTATAATATCTGTTACTTTTAAGTAACGAGGACCTCGTTACGAGGTTGATCGTTGATAAGCAGTTTATTATTTGATATGCAATCGACTATAAAATTAGATTTATATTGGAATTAGACCCAGGTGGG